TAACCAAGATTGCAGCAGATGTTTAGTGCCTCAGAATTTAGGCATCTACAGGAGAATTTTTGTGTTCCTTATGTGTATTTTCTTCAGGAACCTACAACACAGAAACAAGTTACTCCATATCTTTATTTCTTTTGTCAAGTCTTCTAATTTTTTTATCAGCATCACTGAGCATCCTCCACAATGTTATGACTTGCGATCTAAGTGCTTGAACTTCTTGGGATCTGGCCAGCAGCCATCGTCCCAAATTAGTAATTGGTGCAGCATACTACATGCTAGCAACCAGAGAGTCATTAACAGCACCACTGTCTGATCTCACTGCAATGGGGAGCAATATTCAAATCCAAATTATTTTGTGGATGGGAAGGCATTTTTGGAAAAAAAATGGTGTGGAAACGAACCCTTAAGTAATGGTAGAAAGTAAGGAATTTAATCTACTAAGATAAATGAATTGTGCATTGTAAGCATCATATATATTAAGAGGTAAACAATGACAACCATCCTTATTATTCGAATTCTTGTTCCACAAAATCTATTCTTTCCACTCAAGCTTGTCGACCATGTTTAGGAATTCGATCTGACCTTTGAGATATTTTTGTTTATGAAAAGATTCACTTCTTATCGTTTTACTCTTTACTTAATTTACGGATTGTCTTATTGAGAATTTTGTCAAAAGTAATCTAACGGATTTGAGACTAACGTGTGGTTTATATTGAAGCCACTTGTTTTCTATATTCTTTTTTTTGCTATATATATTCCCTACTCTTGGACAGTTTTATAATTGTTGGCGGCGCAAATCTCACGGCCTGGTGCTCCGGGCCGAGGGGATATGCGTTAACACGTGACGTCCTTCTTTTGGATGCGGTGCGGTTGTGCGCAGGCGTGCCAGCACGGTCTACCGTGCGTCAAGATGGTGATGTGGTTTGGATAGAATGGTTTAAGTCGTGCGCATGTTTTGAGTCTGACTTCTAATCAACCGATTGTGGCCGGGAGAGGAACTGATCTTGGCCGTCAGGTTCACGGCCTGAGCTACAAGGCCGTTTAGTGGTGGTGTTGATGGTGGGTTTTGGGCGGTGCTCCTGCGTGTTGCTCAGAGAGCGACGGTCGTATGATATATGGGGTGAATGAGAGAGTAACAGAGATGGTGCTCCGGCGCCTTGAAAATCAAGGGTCGTATGATATATTGATGAATGGATTTTCCTTATAATCTATCACTACTCCTAGGAAAGCAAGTAAAGGTATTGAAAGTGCATTACAGGAAAATATAATTTGCTCCGTGGGAGGCTTTTGGTTTGGTGTTTGAACCCTTTGAATGTAGATTGAGCTTGGTATTTATAGGAAGAGCTCTGGAGGAGTAATCGAGGCAGAAAATCTGCATGATGGAGCCTGATCAGAGCAAGTGGATAGTCCAATCGACATTTAGGATCGTGAAGCAAGGTGGTGTGACCCCATAAATCCTGGTAAATCTCGGCCGCTGCTCTGATTGTGAGTTCTGCCCCTCTGGCCATGGGGACGCATTTAATGCCCTGGTCTGGTGGTTGGTGATCTGACCTCAAGTTGTAAGAATATTTGTAAGAATGTTTGCGCCTAACCACTCTGATTTTTATCACCAAATCCTGACTTTAGACACTTCCCTTCTTCCCTCGTGCATTAAATGCCTTCTTGCGGCTAGTGGGTTTGCTAGTCAGAGGCGTTACTTCATTAAATGCAGCGTGGGACCCTGCTGCCACGTGGCGATTTGACTCTAATATCTTTGGCCGTGTCTCTTTCGTCCTTCGGCCTCGGTCCATAATGCCGTGGTCGAGGCCGAGATGATTATGCCTTTGCAGCTTTTCCTTTGTCTCTGGGAAGACAAAACGCCATGTTCCAGTTCATGAATAGGTGCTAGGGCCGAGCGAAAACTCCTTCGGTCATTTTTACGACCGTGATTTATTAGGCACAAATAATAATACCCCTTGTAGTTGCTTTCTAAACAAAGGATGAGATACCTACTTGAATTCTCTCAACAGCACTTGGCGTGCTTAGAAATCCTAAAGATTTCCATGGAAACAAGATTATCTTTGATCAAAAGCAAGATTATCTTTTATCATGATCCACTACTTTGTTAGGATAGTCGTTTGATCATGGATCAGCCTCGTTCACTGAGCTTCTGGGTCAATTTATGATAGAAGATAGGTATCAGAGATCCATATGCTTCATGGATCAGAATATGGAACATGGTATGTTCCGATTTAAACATATTAATTCCCTTCATCTCTCTCTTCACTTATCAAGAGTTACATTTATTTTGAAGAAAACTATTCCTCAAGAGAAATCTTGTTGGCGTTACAGTTTTAAGGTAGTTGGAAGTTTATGAAAGCAAATGATTGATACTTATTGTATTGTGTCATAAGCATATTTGCACCCCTTGTTGTTAAGAACTAGAAGTTCTATGCTTTGTAATAATTTATACGATGATTATATTAAGTAAACTAGCATATTCTGCAGTATATTGTCTTTGTTTATTTTAAATGCATTTTTATCCCTGAAGGACAATACTTATGACACACTTGGTATCATTTTGATGAGACAAAATTCCCATCATTAGGGGGAGATTTGGTTGTTCCTAAAAGAACAAAGAACGACGTGAATGATTATGCTTATTATTGTCTCATCAAACAAATTGGTATAAAAGATAAATGTCAGAAGCTTATTTAGACAGAAAAAGATTGCAAGTCAAATACCAAAAGCATATCAAATGCCAGAAGCATATACAGGCACACAGTAATTGACTACTAATGAGTAATATGTTGGATGCCCGAAGCATGACAGATAAATATGTTGGTACGTACCATAAAATAATGAAACCAATGAGATGCTTATATATTATGCATGCACATGCATATAAGAATTGTGGGATCACAAATTGATGATATATTGGTTTATAGTACATACTAAAGTTATCAAGGGCTATACGTGAAGATACTGCACCACTTGTTATAATTGTCGACAAATGTAAATAAAGATTGGCCAACTAGAAGAGGCAGTCTAGTAAAGTTGAAAATTTTCGGAAAAAGAGGAATGATTGAACCTATAGTTCAAAACCAAAAGGATATGAAAATGTATATGTTACAAATTGGTGTTTGTAATGAAGTGAAATAAATCACTTGATGATATGGCACAATGTTTCCTAGTAAAGACATGGGATTCTGATGGTAAACATATGCAACTATGTTATGCATATTTATGAAAAAAAATCATGTATATAAAAATTCATGAAGAATTCAGAATGCTTGAAGCAAATTATTTAAAATACGATGCCTTGTAATGATCCTTGTTTGGATTAAATTATTATGGAAGAATATGGTATAATTGTCTTAATGAATATCTATTACAAAAGGGATATATAAATAATCCAAAATTTGGAAATGAGTTTACCATCATTGCAGTATATATATGAAGAATTTTGTTAGAACTCTTGAAGGGTTTACAAAGGCTTCCCCTTATTTAATAAAGGAATTTAAGATGAAAAATCTATAAAGATTATGAAGTGTTTGAAACATATTGCCAGAAGCAATTTTCCTGAAGAATACAAAAGAACAAATCCTAAGAGATATAATGTGCCATGCAATATATAAATTGCAAAAAGAAATCTAAAAGAAGAGAAAGAGCTTGAAGCTCAGTATAAAGCCTGACGCTAAATGTAGAGCTTGAAGCTCAATGTAAGTACTCAATCGACTTGAAATGAATAAATTGCCACATAGAGTACTTTGATTGAATTTAAATTCAAAAACATTGCAACGTATTCAAATGTGTGAAGTTATGAGAAATATTTAGACTCCTGAAGAACTTATAAAGAATGGCATATGCAATTGTTCTAAAAACATACAAAAATATGTTTGAATGACTGAGTATACCAAACAAATATTTAATACTCTTATCTTTATAAGTATGAGCTCATTCTTTTTAAATATTTGAGAGTTATTATTCAAGCCATTGTATGTAGTAAAATATTTATGAAAATAGTCTAGATATTGTTGTATTATTCTAACCTCAACAGAGATTAAATAAATGAAGACACACAGACATCCTCCAATGATGCTACAAGAGCAAGTTTTATACAAGCATTACTAAAGCTCACAACAATATTAGACCATCAAATTATCCATGTATGGAGCTATCAGGGGGAGCATTCAACAATATTTCAAGATTAATTCACAGGAGCAGTGTTAACTAAGACATTCAGAAAAATGGTCAATAGTATGATTTAAAGATATTTTTCAAGCATCAAGGGGAGCGTGCTATCAATAAAGATCTTCACACACTGTACTCTTTTTCCTTCGTCCAGGTTTTTGTCCCACTGGGTTTTTCTTAGCAAAGTTTTAATGAGGCAGTGTCGCACGCATGTCAGTGTTCGTCATACAAAATTTTATGTTACACATGATTATGTACTCTTTTCCCCTTCGACCAGTTTTTGTCTCACTGGATTTTACTAGCAAGGTTTTTAACGAGGCATATTTCATGCATGGTAGCATCCAAGGGGGAGTGTTATGAACCAAGATGCAATGGATGCCTACCATAGCATATTATACCATACCAAGAATTACCTACCATGACTCTCGCCAATGACTCATCATTGTAATTATACAATATTAGTAAATAGTGTAATGCATATGCCTATAAATACAAGGCATCAACTATGACTTTTTTCTTGTTTTTTTAAATGGAAATTTGATGGAGAAATATATATAAAACAGATTTCACATACAAATGTTTCGATAAACTTCTAATGTATGGTGACCGACGATTATTGTGAAAAAGACGTTGCATAGACCTATTATATGATGCTCCCATATTAGTTTGCTAGGTGACCAAATGATAGAAATATAGGGAGACCAACAAAACATAAGCATTTATATATATGAATCAACCTTTAGCCTACCAACATCCACAGAAAATATTGACTAACTTAATAAGTTATACATCTGAATTTATTCTAGAAAACAAGAGCAACAAAATTTTTCTTTTCCCATGATCATGATTGGGAACTTGTAGAATCATCAACAGGATGATGGTATCTGTTGAAAAACCACATAGAATCGGCTTTCACTGCAACTCCATCATCGTTCCGGTGCCAACTGTAGAAGGCATGAGTTCGGTTCTTGATGTCAAAAATGGCATGACCAAAACTGGCCTCTCTATAAGCTGAGTAATCTGGCTGTGGCTCCCTCATACTGCACCAGAAACAAAAAACATTCATAGATTAAAGAATGCAATGCTAACAAATAGGAAAGCATTGAACCCTAAAAGATCATGTACTTACTTGGTTGCCAAGCCTTCAATATTTCCTCCATCTCCAATGGTAATGTACACCGGCGCAGATTGATCTTTCACCACCGGAGAGCACTTTCCATTTTCAATATTATAGGCAATATTCGATACACGTTCCTGTGATACACACAAATTTCTTATCAGAAAAAGGAAGATGTCTACAGTTTTCTTGATATCAGCATTTCAGTCAAACACTTCTCCTCAAAAGGGTTTCATGTACTAATTTGCCAAACATTAAAGCGTTCCATAAAAGGGATTGATCTGTTTCAACAAGTTTATTTTGAGCACTTACAGATCGTTCGTAGGCATGGACATGACCAGCAAAGACTACGTCAACCTTGTGCTGCACAAACCAAGACTCAAACATGACTCTCATGCTCTCTCCTTCCATGTAATGATAGTTGTAGCTGTTGTACCATGGGGAATGCAGTAAGACAACCAACCATGGTGTCTCACTCCTGTTAACTTTTGGTAGCTCCTGCTCAAGCCATTGGTACTGAGGAGTGTATTTACCTTGAGAAGAAGGAAATGATATGTTAAATGAGACAGTTGCAGCAGCCAATTTAACAAAGACATTAATGTACAGAAGATTTCACTAACAAGTTAGAATTGATTGGATGTTACATGGACAGAAGAAGTTTCAGCCTAGTTTTCAGGATAATTTGGAAGCAAAAAGCCTCCAATCATTTAAAACAAAGTCATTAGAAAATATGACAAGGATATCATTTCCATATAATGTGAAAGTAATTTATATGATGTAATCTGCAGAGATGAACAAAGTTTGATTTACAGTATAACAATCTCTCACATGCCAAGAAAGCAACAACTAAGTATTTAGTTATGTCATCGCCAAATTACTTCAAAAACGGCGATTTTAACAAATTTGCAGATGCCAAGTTAACATATTAGACAGTCAGAAAAGAACATGTTTCACATTCCTAGAATTTTCATATCGTATACTGCATATATGTGTAGGTGCTTGAGAGCCAGTCATGTAAATACAATAGGGAAAAAAAATGTACCATAAGCTGTATATGAAGACAAGACTATGATGTATGCTGAAGCTCTCTTGATTGAGTAAAAAAAAGGGGCAGGGCTCCCTGATGCTTTGTGTGGGACATTATACCGGTGAGTGTACGGCTTGAAAGGTTTGTATTCACCCTGCAACAAAAAGTACCAATCTTCTCTTAGAAAACACTTTTCCAATGACATTTTGGAACTAGAATTCACCTCTCTAGATATGGAAAATGAGAGCTTAAGATTAGCTATGAAATGCTTACAATTTCTGGAGCATAATGAATTTATTCTAGAAAACAAGAGCAATAAAATTTTTCTTTTCCCATGATCATGATTGGGAACTTGTAGAATCATCAACAGGATGATGGTATCTGTTGAAAAACCACATAGAATCGGCTTTCACTGCAACTCCATCGTCGTTCCGGTGCCAACTGTAGAAGGCATGAGTTCGGTTCTTGATGTCAAAAATGGCATGACCAAAACTGGCCTCTCTATAAGCTGAGTAATCTGGCTGTGGCTCCCTCATACTGCACCAGAAACAAAAAACATTCATAGATTAAAGAATGCAATGCTAACAAATAGGAAAGCATTGAACCCTAAAAGATCATGTACTTACTTGGTTGCCAAGCCTTCAATATTTCCTCCATCTCCAATGGTAATGTACACCGGCGCAGATTGATCTTTCACCACCGGAGAGCACTTTCCATTTTCAATATTATAGGCAATATTCGATACACGTTCCTGTGATACACACAAATTTCTTATCAGAAAAAGGAAGATGTCTACAGTTTTCTTGATATCAGCATTTCAGTCAAACACTTCTCCTCAAAAGGGTTTCATGTACTAATTTGTCAAAAATTAAAGCGTTCCATAAAAGGGATTAATCTGTTTCAAAAAGTTTATTTTGAGCACTTACAGATCGTTCGTAGGCATGGACATGACCAGCAAAGACTACGTCAACCTTGTGCTGCACAAACCAAGACTCAAACATGACTCTCATGCTCTCTCCTTCCATGTAATGATAGTTGTAGCTGTTGTACCATGGGGAATGCAGTAAGACAACCAACCATGGTGTCTCACTCCTGTTAACTTTTGGTAGCTCCTGCTCAAGCCATTGGTACTGAGGAGTGTATTTACCTTGAGAAGAAGGAAATGATATGTTAAATGAGACAGTTGCAGCAGCCAATTTAACAAAGACATTAATGTACAGAAGATTTCACTAACAAGTTAGAATTGATTGGATGTTACATGGACAGAAGAAGTTTCAGCTCAGTTTTCAAGATAATTTGGAAGCAAAAAGTCTCCAATCATTTAAAACAAAGTCATTAGAAAATATGACAAGGATATCATTTCCATATAATGTGAAAGTAATTTATATGATGTAATCTGCAGAGATGAACAAAGTTTGATTTACAGTATAACAATCTCTCACATGCCAAGAAAGCAACAACTAAGTATTTAGTTATGTCATCGCCAAATTACTTCAAAAACGGCGATTTTAACAAATTTGCAGATGCCAAGTTAACATATTAGACAGTCAGAAAAGAACATGTTTCACATTCCTAGAATTTTCATATCGTATACTGCATATATGTGTAGGTGCTTGAGAGCCAGTCATGTAAATACAGTAGGGAAAAAAATGTACCATAAGCTGTATATGAAGACAAGACTATGATGTATGCTGAAGCTCTCTTGATTGAGTAAAAGAAAGGGGCAGGGCTCCCTGATGCTTTGTGTGGGACATTATACCTGTGAGTGTACGGCTTGAAAGGTTTGTATTCACCCTGCAACAAAAAGTACCAATCTTCTCTTAGAAAACACTTTTCCAATGACATTTTGGAACTAGAATTCACCTCTCTAGATATGGAAAATGAGAGCTTAAGATTAGCTATGAAATGCTTACAATTTCTGGAGCATAATCAATCTCATGGTTCCCTGCAGTCCAAATCCAAGGTTGATAAGCAGCACTTCTCTCAATGAATCTTCCAAATGTATCCCACTTAACATTGTCATGATTGGGATGATTATCTGCATAAGAGAGGTCTCCAAGGTTCAAAACTGTTTGTCCTTTAAGTGGGTTTTCTTCATAGTGAGTAAGTGTCAAGTTTGAATCAAAGGTTTGGCCCAAATCCCCTGCAAATGAGAGACAAATGGTAAGTCAAATTTATAAGTAGTCAAATAGCCAATTTGCCTTGTAAATGAATCAAAAGCATGAAATTAGTTTTGGATCACAATGCTAAAAGTTAACCATTCTGTTTTGGTTATTAAATAAATAAATTACTTACCCATGAGACCAAATGTGTAAGGGACATCTGGCCCAACTTCAGGAGGAGTTACAAACCAGAATAGCCTCTCAGTGTGCCCAATTCCAACCACGTAGTAATATTTGGTATTGTACTGCCCAAAATTATATATTATTAGTTCATAATTTCAGTCAGCAAATTATTTATAGAACAAAAAGAACAAAGAAAAAGAGGAAAAACAGAAAGGCGGATTGAAATTTACCTCTAAGTTTCTGATGGTACAGTGGTGAATGTAACCAGAAGTGTAATCATGGTATGTATAGGTTTTAGCTTTGCCTTCAGCCATCCTTTTCTTTTGACCTTCACTCCAGAAAAGCACTTTGCTGGAGCCTTTTTCATCCACAGTGACCCATGACACAATCATGGCCTTTCCCTTGTGGTCTCCTTGTGTTATATGAACCTTAGATCAAGAACACACGCATATCATACAATTAAACAAAGTTAAGCTAACAAAATCATCAAGAAGAAAAGCAAAAGTGTGAAGCAAGCCATAAATCTTGAAAAACAAGACCACATAAAAATATGAAGGTTCAAGTAAATAAAAGTTCCTGTGTGTTTCCACAGTAAAAAGGGTTGCCCACAAAAAAGAAAAATAATTTGCCTTGTAAATTAATCAAAAGCGTGAAATTACTTTTGGATCACAATGCTAAAAGTTACTATTCTGTTTTGGTTATTAAAAAAAATTACTTAAATACTTACCCATGAGACCAAATGTGTAAGGAACATCTGGCCCAACTTCAGGAGGAGTTACAAACCAGAATAGCCTCTCAGTGTGCCCAATTCCAACCACGTAGTAATATTTGGTATTGTACTGCCCAAAATTATATATTATTAGTTCATAATTTCAGTCAGCAAATTATTTATAGAACAAAAAGAACAAAGAAAAAGAGGAAAAACAGAAAGGCGGATTGAAATTTACCTCTAAGTTTCTGATGGTACAGTGGTGAATGTAACCAGAAGTGTAATCATGGTATGTATAGGTTTTAGCTTTGCCTTCAGCCATCCTTTTCTTTTGATCTGCACTCCAGAAAAGCACTTTGCTGGAGCCTTTTTCATCCACAGTGACCCATGACACAATCATGGCCTTTCCCTTGTGGTCTCCTTGTGTTATATGAACCTTAGATCAAGAACACACGCATATCATACAATTAAACAAAGTTAAGCTAACAAAATCATCAAGAAGAAAAGCAAAAGTGTGAAGCAAGCCATAAATCTTGAAAAACAAGACCACATAAAAATATGAAGGTTCAAGTAAATAAAAGTTCCTGTGTGTTTCCACAGTAAAAAGGGTTGCCCACAAAAAAGAAAAATATATCTCTATATGACAATTATTGATCACATGTCTCGTACTCGTATAGGCGAGACTCAGTGATATCATCAGATAATGTGGTACAAATAAGTCACATCATTAAGCTACAACTGACTAGAGATAGAGAGATAGGGGAGATATATACTTGTTGAGGTGCATTATAGCCATGAGGGACTTGAAAGGCATCGCTTTCATAAGGCATATCAACAGTCTTCTCAGCTTTCCTCACAAAAGGGCTTGTTATACCTCCATTGCAAACCACAGCCAAGTTCAAAACCAAACCCAAAACTACAAAACTAGCTACCCTTGAAGAAGTAGAAGCAGACGCTAAGCTCACCACACCCATCTTGGTCATATTATTACTCAAGGCACCCTCAAACCCTACACAAATTCCATTGCGCTCAGCAAAATCATGCTCCTTTTATAGACACATAAAAATTAATTTAATTTAAATAAAGAGAATTTAAAGTTTATCACGAAATATGGGGAATATTATTCAGAGCTGTATAGGAATATGCGCATTTCTAAGGCTAAAGGGATTTGGATTTGCATGGTTTTCTATTTATTTTTAACATGAGTACTTATTCTTCTGGGAATTTTAGTTGAGTTGTGTTTCTTTTGGGATCGGAAATAGTGGTTGTATACAGTTGGACTTGGGAGTTATGTGTGAATGAAACGTATCTATTCTTGGATTTGAGCAATCAAAATATAACAATGGCTGTAATATATATATTAATATGTGAAATAAAAAAAATTTGCATTGTCATATTTCATAAATAAAGAAGTAGTAAATTGCCTAATTAAAGGGAAGAAGAATAAGTAATTAGAAGTATTGGTGGGCATAGGAGAGGTGTTTGGATTGAGATTTGATT